TGATACTACCAAGAATTGAAACATTCATCGTCCGGTTCGCAGGTTTTGGTAAAGCCGACCAACCGTTATAATGGCGGGCGACGACCGAACCGTGGTTGACGAAGATGAGAAACATTGGAATCAACAACAACTGAATGTTTGGGTACAATCACAGTTTACATATGCCGACCGTCAATCTTTCTTGTCGTGCGACCTCTGTTTTCCTTGTCCTGAATATGACAGACGAGGATGCACGTCGTTTCCCTGCTGCTTGGAGTGTCTCGTGAATGTATGTGCATATCAAGGCAAAACAAATTGCATTCGTCAATGGTAACTGATGATAATATCCTCTCCAAACTATAAAATACTAGCACTGAAAAACAAAACACAGGATGCCATGCTCATAGAGTGACATTAGCGGCGGGACGGTCACGAGTTATTAGTAGTAAACGTATTATTATTAATCCATTTGACTTGACCCGGGAACTTGACCCGCAGTACTATGCCCAGAAACTGCATTTACTCACAACTTCACAAAATATTAATGTCAAAGTTGCATTTTTTTAATTCATACGGTTATAGTAGAAAAACAACTGAACTTGTTTTTGTCTTGGAGGAAAAAGTTCCCTTCTTTTCTGAAATACGCATAGCGCCATCTGTGGTAGAAATATGTAGCTGCAGTCGTTTTTATATCTATCCTGTAGCGCCACCAACGCACAATGTGAATAATATCTTTGCATTCGTTTTGTCTATTCTGTTACTACGCCACCAGTGCCCAATACTTAAATTGCATTCGTTTATCAGCCTTTCGTCGCCGCGCCACTAACGTTAACTACTTAAAATCTATCCGTTTATCTTTTAATGTCGAACAGTGTAATAGCGCCGCCAATGGTCGTATTGTGAACTCCTCTTGTTTTGTAATGAAATACATGATTGTATAGTGTCCCCAACGTTCATAACTAAATTATTTCGTTTGTTGTTTTAATCTAATTATTGTTTTACCACCATCATTGTTTGTATAAAACAATATTTTGTTGGAGTTACGATATACAGCGCCACCAACACCCAGGAAATGTCGTAGCAGAGTTCGTGTATTAGTGAAAACGCTTATTAACATCTGATGATGCTCAATAATGTTAAGGCTAATATCTCGAAGTAAGAAGGTGAGTAAATGTTCGATTTCTTGTGAATGATTTTGGTGGGAAAAATAAAGCAGTCCGCTGGCGTAATGTTTGTTTACATTGTGGTCAGTAGTCGGGCGGTTCATTTATTTAAAACAGATCTTGGCTCCATGAGAGGACCAAGTTAACTTCAGCTATGTTCGCTAATATGTATCTGTTCCTTGTTTTCCACTTGTGCTGCCATTCTTTGAAGTTGTCGTCTGCACTCGCCAACAAATCCGTAAAAATATTCGTCCGTAAGTTCTTATTCACAGTATCAACCTAGATGTCACAATGCTAAACTTTCAAAAATCTCTACAAGTCACTGTCTTGCTATCTGGAAGAAGGATAATACAAAAATCTAGTGACCTTAGCAAACTGACAAAAATCCAACGACTAAAAAGCTTGGTATAGTAAACTTGCACTCCACCATCTGAAAACTGCTTTCTGTTCAAACCTTTTCTGCAAATGTGATGGAGCTATGTGTCCTACTGTGTCCTACTTGCCAGGTTTTGAATGTGATTGTTACATTTATGTACCTCGTCTGCCCTCTCATGTTACAGGTGTTTCTCAGTATTATAATAATAATAAATGTATTGCATCCTGGAAATAGTTGCCATTGGTTGACAACAATTAATTGTTAGTAATTAAATAAAATACAAATAATACAAGGGAGGGGAGAAATGTTAAAGGTGAAGATAACAAAAGATTGGGAGACAAAATTATTGCCATGCAGATGTGAATAAAATATTTGCAGAAAGGTAATCTCCATTCACAAGTTTTCAAATGGGTAACCCCCCATGTCTGTATTTTGCCGAGTTTAGTAAATTTGTTGGTGTAACACACAAATGCTTTTATTTTATTATTAATTATGTACATTCATTCATTTATGTCTTGCAGATTGACTGTGTCCATTATGAGGTTGGTTTGAACATGTTATGCAGATACTTGGCCCAGTTTTGGTCATGTGATTCATTGTCCAGGCCTCTCATTCTGTAAACCCACATTTTGTAATTTGTCTCTTGTGCAAGGTCTTGAAGTTGAGGATAATCTTCCTTAACTATCAAAAAAAGATGGCAAAAGGGTATGGC